TCTAATAAATGATTTAACTTCGTTGTTACTTACACTCAATCACATAAAATGTTTAACGTTCGCTTTGATTTGTAAAATCTATATTGAGATTTGTGGGGTTACAGTAGAAGCTGGTGTCTTTTTGACTTGGCTGCATGCAGCTCCAACAAGGCAGTTTCTCGATTTCAGATTTAATGATTTCTGTTCCAATCCAGTGTGCTGAATCCAATGGTCAAAACCTAGCTAAAATGTGGATCATATGGATGAACACCCATGGACCCATGACCCATCCATGCCCAGTGACAAGAGACAATAAACATTGTGATTATTTGAATTTGACTTCAAGTCCTTGTTTTGTAACTTTGAAAATTCAAAACTAGTTAGTCCACAATAATTAATAGTGTCGTCTAGTGATATTTAATTTCATTTATAGGTAAAAGGTTCTATCTTTAAGTCTCGTCGAAATCGAATCTGAACTAAAATATTTTGACTAGCTTATTGCGAGGTTTAACCTACTATCTTTATCTCTTAGTATAGATAATATCGAATGTATTCAAAAAAATCAATTGACCCATGCCAAATCTTTCAATAGTATATTTGTTCCATATTTTCCATAATTTTTTAGTAAATATTGGAAATACAATGTTTAAGATGAATAGGGAGGATTTTAGATAGGTAAAATTTCTAAACTACGGATCTAATTTTTTACGAAATTACTTGATTTGTATTATGATCAGACTGTTCTAACGAAGTTTTCTCACGTTGAAGAGTTGAAAAATGTGTTAGGAATAAAAAAGTTGAATTGTATAGTATCTTTCTATATCTTTTGGTTGGGGATGGAGGGGCATTTGATTGATTTAAGGGCCATGTCATATCTACTCAAGATCTTGAGGAGATGATTCATAGTTAAATGACAGATTTGGGTTAACCATGGTCTCCTGCATATGGCCAATTAATTAAAAAAAGCATGGAAGGTCTTGGAAATATTGGATTAGATGGATATGCCTATGCAGTTCTTGGTAAATTTAGGAAGAGGATCCCCTCCGGATTTACTTAGTAGGGCTTCTATGAATTCTTACAATCTAATCATTCATTGTACATCGTGCGGTCAGTTTTAGTCAGGTACTATTTGTGTTTAATTTTAAATAAAAAAAAGTCAAATATTTTCTGACCTCACGATGCACGATGAATGACTAAGATGTAAGGATCCCTAAGATCCCTACAATTTGAATCCGGGATCCAAATTCATGCCAAAATTCGATATGCAGGATACATAAGTTGTACGTGAGATTAAATGAAGGTTGAATTGAGTTTGAAGCACCCTAATTTCGTCAAGTCTTAGGTCCACTCGTCAAAGAGTTTTTCACCAAGAGGGAAGGGTTGGCTTTCTTCATTTTTGAGTACTTGATCTTCACATGCAACGCCACCATTCGAATCCATAGGTCAAACTACACCTAAAACATGGAATATTGGTATGGATTTCACTTGAAAATTGGTGTTGGCATAGGTGATTCTCTCGGTAATTAGAAAGAGTGAAAGTATCATCGAGAGAGAGAGTTAGAGATAAAGGAGAGTCTCACGGGAAAAAGGGAAGAAAGAGAGAAGAAGAGGGAGACCAAATAAAAGGAGTGGGCCCCTCAAGGTACACTAAATAAGACCAAACCCTTTTTAGTCATTTCACACAGTCACATCTGTTTTACATAAAAGTTTACCAAACACTATAATACTATTTTTTTTTTCCAAAATCACTTTTACAAAAAAGTTTACCAAACACTCTGCTGCCTATTCTCACAGCACATCAGAAACAGTTTTTTTTGCAAAGTACAACAATACCAAACCAGTCCTAAGACTCTTCGTTTATGTGAGGTGGGCCAAAAAATAGGCTAAGGGGGTTGTAAGATTTAAAATAAGTGATTATGATTTCTTGTTTCGTGGACTGTGAGATTGAATAAGATCTCGATTCAACTTTTACCACTAATGCTGCACTATGTGAAAAATGAGTTTGATATGGTGGTAGTGCCTAAAAATACTTGGTCAGAAAATAAGGCATATTTTACTTGGACTCAAACAGCTCCCAGGTTCAATGGTGCTTGCAAAGGATATACATTTGGAAAGTGGTCTATTAACTAATACAGTAAACTGGAGTACTGGTTTTTAAATTATGAGTTAATCGTAGTTTTAATTTCTAAACTAAAAATTTATTAAAATTAGTACTTGAACTTGACAAAATGTGAAATATCGGTCACTGGAGGCAAAAGAGACATACGTGCAACTCTTCGATTTACTACTTGAAAGGGGGTCACGTTCATTTCATGTGAAGTTGGAAATTATCAAAGAGATTAATAAAAATGATCCATACTTCACATTACGTCAAATTTACATTAATTTTAATGAATTTTTAATTGCGCAAATAAACCTACAATTTGATCATTGTTCAAGGATCAACAATTTATTTTAAAGAAAATTAATGAAAATGACTTGAAAACTTTGAGTTTTAACGATAATGACAAAATAAAGGGTGAAGTGAATAGTACCATGATTGATTTCTTAGTGTAAAAATATGGTTTTTCGTTATAGTAAACAGTAGCATGAGCTTTTCTTTAAAGTTCCATTTATTTTACTCCATTAAAATTTACAAGACGACTATGATATGGTCATATTACAAAAAATTATCAAATGCGAGATAAATCCAGCAATTGAATTGAAAGTTGCAAGTAAATCCAACAATACTAAAAACTGCAAATTTTATCACCTTTATGAGGTTAGGCAAATAACCACGTAAACATAAACCACTTGACTAGTTTATATTGTGCCGATCGATCAACCATCTGCCTAAAACGAAAAGTCCCAAATCCCATGAGATCCTTATTCTCAAGAGAAGTAAAAGACAAGAAAGAAAGTTGTATCCGCATGATTAGGATACCTCTGGATTTGATCTTATTGTAAAGTCATGAAGGATGAATCAATTCAAATTGTTCATCATCATAACTTCAGTCTGCTAAATCTGAAAGCCTCCCATCTCCCACTTAAAAGCTTCCACCCCTTTATCCAATTTTGACCAATATCTTAAATTACATTTTTGAAAGACCCCAACTTAAATTTTTTTTTTTCAACTTTAAGTTTGATTTTCTTTTGGATGTGTCGATGACTTTCACTCCGAAGCGCAGCGTCCAACACCGGCGGCGTCAAAATTGGGAAAGAAAATTGGAAAGGGATCCTCTTCGGATTCTTTCACCAAATCCATCCAAAATCATTTAATCCAGATTTTAAAAATTAATTTAACGGCTAAATTTATTATAATTTTTAAAAAGTCTCATATTTTTAGTCGTTTGATTAAATTTTAAAAATTCAAATTAATTGATTGGATGAATTTATCAAAGTGGGCCCACTTTTCACTGTGGAGGAATGATGAAGAGAGAGAGATTGATTATCCGATTTGATTCTCTCTGATGAGCAACCTCCATTTGCGTGAAGTGAACAGTCAGATCTTAAATTAATAAATAATAATACTCTGTTTTCATCTTTTTCCTTTTATAATATAAATAAATTAATAATATATGCCATGAATAATCTGATTTATGAACAAGGATCCTCTTTGGGAATCTGGAAATCCATCAATCGTGTCTGTTTATCATACATCATACGATCAGTTTTCATTAAATACTATTTATATTTAATTTTAAATTAAAATTTTAAAATAATTTCTAAACGTATTATACACGATGAACGAACACGATTAATTTATCATCTGAATCTTCAAAAAGAGAATCCAAAGTGGATCCTATTCCCTGATTTATTAGTGATTTGCCAGGCACTTTGGTGGTGGCCTTTGGAATTTGATCTGTTGATAGACCTTGATTCTTGCAGCCGATCAAATATATTGTACGTGTCCACAGTTGTTGCAACAGATGAGAGTCTATATATATGTGGTTTACAAAAATGATGCAGCACAAATCTAGAAAGATAGAAACACTGTTTTCGGTTCGCCTTGAGTCCCACATTGGATCTGTATGGCTTTCAAAGAAAAGAGATGTACTAATGATTTAAAAACACCTCCCCATAAAATCATTTAAATTCACGCTGAGTGATCACTAACTGTTGGATCTTAATACAACAAGAGGAGAAAATATAACACAAAAATGATCACCTACTATTTGATTGAGATCGAACAATGAGAGACTATTATTTCTTTAGACCACGAGGTCCACAAGAACGGGCGTGCAAACAACACTATTAAGATCATTGTTCTAAAAATCCTAGCTTAGGGCTGCCTAGACGGTTGACCATCACTACGATTAATTCTTAGACGTTTAAAAAATAAGAAAGGGCGTCTAGACTTACTTAGGCATCCGCCTAATCCGCCTAGGTCATGACTCTCACTTAGACGTAATATAGATACATTTTTCTATAACTTATAAAAGACTTGTTGGATACTTGGATGAACACTCATTATACATTGTTCCAATGTTTTCAATATATTATGGTATTTTATAATTTCTTTTTTTGTCAAACAAATGTTCTGGTATTTTATTTATTTTTTTTTTCAAATGATAGATTTGTTAGATTAGATGTTAGATTAGAGTCGATGGGGTTCAAACCCATGCCGTTGTGCAACAATCATCTCCACCACTATGGTAGAGGGCTACTTGCAGTATTTTATAATTTATATATCATTCTATTTTATAATTTATGTATTACAACAAAATTATATTATTTTTTTAAGAATAATAAACATTTATATAAATGTTATATAATAAATTTAGCTAAAAAAAAAACCACCTAGGCCTCTATGCACCGCGATGCCGCTAGCTAGCACCTTGCGCTTTTTAGAACAAGAACGACAACTGAAATAAAATACGTCAACATGACAAGTCATAAACCCAAACTGGGCTTGAGAGGCCCCTTTTGTCCCGACAGGATCTATCAGCCCACCGACATCGTTTCATCGCACCAAGTAAAAGAAATGGCCCAAACTATTTGAGAATCGAGGCCCGTTAATTCAACAAGCACAAAAGAACGCGGGCCCCGAAATCCGGCGCGCAAAACCGTCGTCAGCGACAAGTAAAAGAAACCAACGCCCCGAACCCGTCACACCAGAAAGCGTTGCCGATCGCCGAGCTCGAAAATGGAGGAGGCAAAAGCGGCGGCGTACTATGACGAGCTGACTCGGCGGGGCGAAGGAGCCGCCAGATTCAAACAAGGCCTCGGCTTCTCTTCGGCAAACTCGGATTCCGAAAATGCCTCTGAGCGCGGCTCAGCGCTGCCGTATTCCACCTCGTCTTCCTTCCTCAGTAAGTTTGTTAAGGCGTCCAGCCCGAAGAAGGAGTCGGAGCTTCAGAAGCAAGCACAGATTGAATCCATACAGAACAAGCTCAAGAGGAAGAAGGCCAACGCGGCGGAGGAAAGAGAGAATAGGCAACCGGCTAGGGTTTCGGAGAGAGAGAATAGGCATTCGAGGAAGCGGAGCAGGAGCAGAGAGAGGCATTCGATTCGGAGAAGTAGGAGCAGAGAGAGGTATAGAGAAAGAGATAGGGGTAGAGAGAGGAGGAGGATGAGGTCTGAGAGCGATTCCGATGGAGGTAGACGACGGAGATCGAGAAGCCGGAGTCGGAGTCCGTCGCCTCGGGATCGGAGAAAGGAGCGGAGGAGGAGTCGGAGCTCGTCACCGAGGGAGAGGGGTTCGGAGAGAAGCAAAGGTAAAGCGGGGAAGGAGAGGAATGGAGGCAGTGCTGATCATTCCAAGTTGATTGAAGGCTATGATAAGATGGTATGATTAGTTTGGTAATTGTAATTTACTTGTTGTAATTCATCAATGTCAGGAATCAGGCTCAAGTCTTTATCAATCTTAGATAAATGACACAGTGAATTCTTAATAAGTTTACTAATTTACATGTGAAATCCTTGATAAGATGACTAATTACTCGTTATTTTGGGTTTTGATTGTCAAGTATGATTAACAAACTGTTCTTTTGACATGATCAGTCAGCGGCCGAGAGAGTGAAGGCGAAGATGAAGCTTCAACTTGCTGAAACTGGTGAGCTATCTGATGTTATAGTGCATTAATTTCTAAGATATGGGTTTGCTTGGAGCTGTGCGTTATAACATTGTGTGTTCTTAAATGCAGCTGAGAAGGATACGACGAAAGGGATGGGCTCGGGTTGGGAAAGATTCGAGTTCAACAAAGATGCACCACTTGATGATGAAGACGTTGAAGGTTAAACATCTATAAACACCACTGGATTTTATAAAGTGAAGATTGAATTTTGTTGCTTTGCATTACTTCTGTTTTCTCAATCAGATGGATAATCATCTTTATGTTCATATTTTGGTGAGAAAACCGGGATATGGTTGCAGCTATAAATGCCGCTACATCTTATTGCCCGGCCATACTTGTAACAAAAGATTATCATTTCAAGCATACACTTTGATTGCTCTATAGCCTTACAAAGTAATTTAGTTTTATATGTGGCATATTAGTTATTATCCAAGATCAGAAATCTAATTAAGCGGTCAATTAGCAGAGCATTGGATCTATCAATCATCATAGGTTAGATTCAGAAAGAAAGGCATGATTAGGCATCCTTGACATGAGACTTGATAATACTGCCACACTGATTTATGTAGCTTTTAAGTTGTAACTCAGAATATATCTTGGCCGTCTGATTAGAGCAAAGTGAACTGATTGTGCCTGTTTACCTTTTTGTATAGTTGCTGAAGATGATGCAGCATTAGTTAAGCACATTGGCCAAAGCTTCCGGTTTTCTGCAGTTGAGGTATGTGCATCTGCGATCTTCCCGCTAGTTTCTCATTTGAGTTCCAGTTCTATGTTCATGTCACCTTACATTTAGAAATCTGGCTTGTTAAAGATGACCTGTAGTTTCTGATGTTATTCATTTGATTGTCATCGTGTAGACAAAAAGGGAGGAGCAGCTCAGATCTGCTCATGATGAGGCTATGTTTGGTGCATCAGATGATCGACCGACCATTGTGATGGATAGTGAGATTGAGGCAGAGAACAACATAAACGACAGCATAGAAAGTGAGCCTACAACTACAAGCCTCCTGAGTGAGAAGGTAAGTTGAAGATTGCTTGTTGCTAAGCGACGTGTTGATGTGGGTTATTTTTTGGACTCTCCATTATATTTGAAATGATCTGCCATTTCTGTAGGTACTTTCAAAGAAACAAGGTTCATGGCGTGATCGTATACGTGACAAAGGGAATTGACATGGATGACTTGGGATAGGTCTTCTCAAATCCGGTTCATATACCAGATGCAGATGTCATGTTGACATAATCTGAAGTCAAGTTGAGATCTGAAATGGCGATGGAAGGGGCTGACATGGATATCGGCATGGAACATTCTAATACTACCATTTTGAGTTTGATATGAAGTTACATGATGGAGTTGACAACGGAGATGCACTGAAGTTAGTGGAAAGAAGCTTCTGCGTTGAAGTTAGAGGCCGAAGAACTTCCTTCGTCGGATCATTTATTCCGAGTCATCCCTGTGTTAAAAAACAGCACTTCTAGAGGGTATCCCCGAGTCCATGCTCCTTGATAGAAAGAGCTTTGAGTATATTGCCTGTAGTTTGGCCGAGGAAAACAGTGGCATTGTAGTCGTATGAGTAGGCCACTAGTTGTACTCAAGGTTCTAAAAATCGCTAGGCGCTAGTCGGGCGGCGGGCAGGGGGGCCTAGCGCTTAGGCGGCTAGGCAGGGGTCTAGGCAGATTTATGTAAATTTATTATATATCTTGTAAATAAGTGTCTATTTACACTTAAAAAAAAATTATATTTGTATGGATAATAAAAGAATGATAAAATGCAAAAATAGAAGGTAGAAGAATACATAAATTATATACATCCAAAGAGTTCAATTTTTAAAAAACAATAAGCATATAATCATAATGAGGCGGATTTGGATGATAGACTAAATTCTTCTTGTTCATGAATCATGATCCTTGTATTGGATTAGATATAGACTAAATTATTTAACCTTGTTGTATCTAGTTTATTTATTCTTTGTATGTATCCCCTCAAAAGTGCTCCAATTTGTTTCACTGTTGGATGAACTTGTAGTAAATCCATCATTTGCAAATTAGGTACATCATTTCCATAAGTATACCACCATGAAACCAAAAAAGAAAAAAGCACACAATATAAAAAAAAAAAAAAAAAAAACCACCTAGGTGCCGCCTAGCTCTCCGCCTAGGAGCTGCCTAGGGCCGCCTAGCTTCCAGCCGATTTTTCCAAACGTCTTGCCCAAAATCGGGGCAGGGCTCCACCGCCCAGCGCCGAGACCGATTTTTAGAATAGTGGTTGTACTTGAATTGTACGTGTGTTCGTGTATGATGTTTTAACATATTTTAATACTAGATTTGGTTGTGAGTTTAGAGATGTGTGTCTGTTGAATAGCTGAGTTCTCATCCAATATTAGCCACTAAACAAGACCAAAATCTTAATCACTATTATCCACATAATAATTGTGATTGTGCTGTAGAAGATACACGTTAATTCAACTATTCTAGTTTGGTAACAAAAGAAAAATCCAACTATACAAGTGATAATATGGACTTATTCAAGCCAAGCGAACCTGATTAGTTTCGTCTTTTGAATGAGAACAAAATGAGAAAAACTTGGGTGCAACCGTCCAATCAATGACATGAATAAGTTTTCTTCGGATCCTTTATCGAGTACATGTTAATTCCAAACTAATAGCATTAGACAGCAACAAGTCGTTGTAGTATAGTGGTAAGTATTCCCGCCTGTCACGCGGGTGACCCGGGTTCGATCCCCGGCAACGGCGCAACAGTTTTTCCTTTTTATACATATTTTAAGTCAGACCTCAGGAGGGCCGATGGAATTACGTGTCGCATTCTTATTTGCTGAACGGGAGACAGCAAGTGGGGCACCCCACTCCGGAGACAGCCAATCAAAGTGGCGGCTCGGGTGGTCTTTCTTCCTTCCTTGGTCCCTGTTTTAGCATTTCAAGCCCTCATCGCATTTTTCTCTCCGGTAATCTCCGTACGGTGCGTTTCAATCAATGGCTGCAAATCGCTGGCTGAGGCCCGAGGTGAGCGCAGATCAACCTCCGAGATTTGATCCTTTCGTCTTGTACCAGATCGGCTTTGATTTTGTTGGCTGGGCTTTTAATCCGGCGTCGTATTGTTTGTGTGTATGTAGGTTTATCCACTGTTCGCGGCCACAGGGGTCGCCGTAGGGATCTGCGGGTTGAGTCTGTTCCGCCATATCACCATCAACCCTGAAGTCAGGTACGTCTCTCTCTAAATTTGGACTGCAGAGCTTAATGCTTTAGAATTAGATTGTTGCTAGTCTATGTGTTCTATTTGTAATTCGTTTATTTCTGTGCTATGCCAATAACTTATCAAATTCACCGATATAAAAATCCCCGCCTAGACCGCCCGGCCTAGCTGGTCCAGACTTGCTAGACACATGCTTAGGTTGCGACTCAACTAGGATTGTATTCAATTGAGATTTTAAAGGATTTTTAATTCTTTTAATGAATCTAGGAATATTCTATCAGGATTTTAAGTGATTTCTAAAATTCAATGTGTATTTAATCAGGATTTTAAGATAGTTTATTAAAATCCTTATAAATCTGGATGTATTTAATTAGAATTTTAAAGAAGTTTATAACATTCTAGTTGTATTCAATTAGAATTTGATTTTAAATAATTTCAAAAAGTTGAGGAATCAGCGGGAATTGGAGAGAATTTGTAGTGTATTTTAAGCATCTACAAATCTCACATCTCCCCATGAGATTTTGAAGGAATAGAATAAAAATTTTACATGGAATCTCTACAAATCAATTAAACTCCATAAAAATTCATGAATTTATAAATCCATTAAAATCTCTCCATTTCCCAATTGAATACACCCCCCATTAGATAGGAAATAGATAATTTTTCTTTTGCATTATATTATTTTCAATAAATTGTAAGAAACTCTTTAAACACTTAAATAAACACACATTATATATTTGCTCAATGTTTTCATTATGTTCTAATACTTCATAATATAATTATATATATTTTTAAGTATATACAGACATTTATTTATACAAAATACAATAGATTTACTTAAATCTGCCTAGTCCGCCTAGGTGCCTGTTTAGGCTCCGCCTACCCGTCTAGGCACTAGACCTCAACCCCGCTGTCCAATTAGCGCATAGCGTCTTTTAGAACCTTGCTCAAATTAGATGAATATTTCCAAGACGTAAAAACCTTAATTTTATTATCAAATATTTGGGTTTAATTTAACCAAAGTGGGTGGTCTAAATTGATTACAAGAGAGGCCAAGTAAATTTTTGTATACCAAAATAAGCCGATTTTGTGATGGATATCGGGATGGGCTCGTTCGATGCTTAGAATTGGAGTGTATTGGATTATTTATTATATTCAAGGTGTTTTTGGACGAAGGAAAAAGGGAAATTTGTTCAACTTGAAGATAGAAGATAGATTACTAATGAATGAAACTTGTTCCCAACAAATCCCGCAAAATGGTAGGATTAGAAGGGATACGTTTTCTTCATTTCTAATCCCCTCGAAACAAATAATCATTTGCCTCTACCTTTTAACACATTTCCTTCACACCGAACGAGCCCTCAAAGTGTTCGTATATAACATGCCCAGTTTGTAGTTAAAGCTCCTTAAATCTTTCAAGCTAGCGTACGTGGTAAATGTGAAGAACAACTCATGCAAGTGTGTGGTATTTTCTTCTTGTTCTGTTGGTTCTCTTCACTCTTACAAACCTGAAAGAACTATGAATTTGATGTGAAAATTATACTGGATGCCGTAGCGTATGGTGATACCATCTCTTTTTTCTTTCTGAATCAGAGTGAGCAAGGAGGGCAGAGCTGCTGGAGTATTGGATAATCACGCCGAAGGAGAAAAGTACAAAGAGAATTTCTTGAGGAAATTTGTCCGCAACAGGGCACCGGAGATTATGCCAGGCATCAACGGTTTCTTCACGGACCCGAAAAATAATTGAACTGGTTTGAGTACCGGCTGAGAGAAGAAGAGGCCAGAGATTGAGACTCAGTAATTGCTACGAGTCGTTGGAGCTTTAGAGGTTGTGTTTAATTTATACTTACTATGTATTTGAAATAATGTGAGTGAATGACAATGTGCACTTGAATTTAGTTTTATTTGTTTTGATTAATTGCCTTTCCTGCATCGTATAGGATGGATGTTGCTTGCTTTTGGTGAAAATGTTTTTGGAACCAATTTTTAATAAAAACGCAAGTGAATTCTAGAAAAGCAATTGAAATGCTTTTCGTGCTTCTTTCAAGAAGCAGTTCAAGTGCTTTTGGAACTCAACAACATTTATTTCTAAAAGGTTTTTTGTCATTTTAAAAGCACTTTTAAACCAGCATTTACATTGTTTTGGCAATGGCAGATAGGCAACCCAGTGCAGAAAAATAAAGAATGAACGAAAGATTAAGGAAACACTCTAGAAAACTAAAGCAGCACATTAAAATTGAAATTTTCTACAGAAATCAAACCAATGAACATTACTAATAGAAGTACACGCTCTCAAATTGATCAATCCACCTCAAGCTTCTCGCAAGTTGTTGTGCCAAAACTGGTAGAGAAGGCATGACTACCACCAGCTTGTACGTCATGACTAAATTATGGAGGAAAGTGCTCAACATCCATTAAAGGACCACCAGCTTGTTCTATTCTCATTCCTCGAAGTAAGCTCTTTGCTGTTTCCTTTTCCTGCAGTGAAGCGCAGAGAATTAACGGTTACTTTCTGTTGATTCGAAACATTTGCACATAATTATTTGGAATGAGCGGTTTTGGAAATATGCACGAAAGATCTAGTCCATCGAGGAACGCAGACTCTGTGCCCGTGAACCCTGAGTTCCAAGATTGGAGCCCGCAATGGCGCCGGAGGAGATGAAAGAACCTGACCGTGAGCCCCGCTCAGCCTGAAATTTCAGTCGTGTCCCAGATTACCCAAAAATTGGACCAAGGATTCGTATTCTTAGGTGGAGTTATAGCGTTTCCCCAACTTGCTGCATGAAAGCCTTTTTGCTTCCGAAGCTCCTGGCGGTAAGACCGTCATTGATTTCATACTTCAGGTCCTTATTGTATGCAGTCGGTGATTAGGGGTTCTTCGTTTCTATCACAAATGTTTAGTAATTATGGTTGTTCTTCGATTCTTTGTGGTGCAGTTGCAAATTAGGTGTAATTACATTTTTTCTGGTGTCCGGAAATCTGAAAACTTCTGCGGAATTATGAGGAATCAGGGCTTTTGTGAAATTCTACAGATGGTTATTAATGAGTGATCAGTTGTGTGAAAGTATAATTTCATCAAAATGTACCCAAAAAAAAAATTGAATTCAAGATAATGAAAGATGGTTTTATTAATTCATATCGGTCTAGTGAAATTTCTCTTTATTTGTAGGTGAGAGTTCATAGGTTCGTTTCTCGTCAAATACGAATTTGAACCACATTATTGCAAGTCCGTTGTGAGGCTTAACCCACCATTCCATTCCCTCAATGTCGTTGTTAAAATATATATATATATATATATGTTTAGGAATAATAGGTTAAAAAAAAATTTTAAAAAAAAGTAAAGAAGTAACTTGAAATTTTGGGTAGCTAACCCCAATGAGTCCCAATAAGCATTTGGTCCTCAGTAACTTCCATGTAAAAATCATGAGTGTTGATTATTTTGGTTCAGTTTTCAAAAATAATGTGGCTAATTTTGCTTGTAGTTATAAAACTAATGTGAGTTACTTTTGTCTAGTTTCATAAATAGT